TCACTGGAACTCGGGGTTGCATGGTCTCTCTTACTCCCTAATTATTCCTCCCAGTTTATCGGCATGCACATGTGGGACCACCCACTCCACCAGCTGCCAACTGCCCTGGTCCTCCAGCCACCTCCTTGTCGTGAGTCCTCTCCACACCAGCTGCCCATCTCTGCCCCTCCTACCAGTCTAGATGAACGTTTCTTCATTAACTCCTTTGTTGTCGGACTTCCATACAGTTCGATTTTCTGCCAATTCTGGTTGGGTTTTTTAAAAATTTGTTTTTATGCTTCTTTTGGTTGTGAGAGGAGGCACAGTGTATCTACCAATGCCCCCATCTTGGACAGAGTCCTTACTTAGTAATTTTTTCAATGTCTATCTTGCCTTTTTGTCTTTTTTTGTTTTTACTGTATTCTTGAGGCTATGTAATTAGGTGCATACACATTTAACACTTGCTTTTCTTCCAAGAGTATTAAAAGTTTGATATTATATAGGGTTTCCATTTCTCTCAAGCATTGCTTTTTGCATGTATCAATTTTGTGTGTAGACTTAAAGTATTTGTACTTTTAATATAATCATAATATTTTATTTTATTTTCATGCTTTTAATTTTTTTTTACTTTTTTACCTTTCTGTGTCATTGTTGTAGGTGAGTCTATAGTAAACAACTTATTTAGATTTTCTCACCCAATCTGATCATTTTTACCTTAAAACTAAAGAATTTATTTACTTTTAATGTAATTACTAATATTTAACATTAATGCCTACCATCTTATTTTGTGTTTTACATTAGACTACTTTCGCTCAATGTTTTCCATACTTTCTGAACATATTTTGTATTGATTGGGTTTCATATTCTTATTCCATTATTTCCTTCACTAGTTTAGAAATTATAGCCTATGTTTATATTAATTTAAAAGTTATCCTGGAAATCTTCACTTGCATACTTTAAAATTCTAAAGTTAATCACAATATATTTATGGCCCACCATCAATACATAGACTTAAGAAAACTTTAACAACTTTGAATTTGCAAATATATTCAATAGTACATGAAACTGTACTCTATGAAACTGTATTTATTTATGCATCTGGGTAATAAACATCTATTGAGTACTTACTCTGTGCTCAGAACTGTTGTGGGGATTGGGAATATATCAGTTAACCAAAGAAAGTTCATCTTTAATGAAGCTAAATTATAGTGGGGGGAACAGACACTAAATAAATAAGTAATATTGTAATATGAGAGTGAGAACTTCTATGAAGGAAAATATATAGGCTGAAGGAATAGACAGCCACAGGGACATAGAGAAGTCAGAGGAGGTAACACTGAGTTAGTAAAATTTGGAGACTTTAACAGAGTGAGAGACTGAGCTATATGGGGAAGTTGCATCCTGACAATGACAAAGCTTTGCTAGAGAAATGTTATTTCAGCTGTGAAGGTTTAGTAAGAAAACCAGTATGACTATAGCAGGGTGAGTGAAAAAAAAAAGTGATAGGAAAAGTGGTCTGAAGGATAGCCAGAGCGATCTAGCTCTTCTATATATCTATATATAGAATATAGTTATTCTATGTATCCTATATCTATAGAATGGTTATGCAGACCACAGCAAGGACTTTGTACTCAGTGTAAGTTTGTCAGAAGGTCATTAGAAGATTTTAAACAAAGGATCAACATGATCTGATTTGAGATTTTAAAGTCTCATTTTAGCTGTCACATGACGGATGTGTTGTTGGAGGGCAAATGAAACAGTGAAGTCAGTTAAGGGCTATTCTTTTGTTCAGGTGAAAGATGCCTCTGGGCAGCACTGGAACAGTGGTTCCCAATTTGGCAATCTCTGCAAATGTTTTTGGTGTCCCGGCTGAAAGGGTGCTACTGGCATCTAGTGGGTAAAGGCCAGGGGCATGGCAAAACATGTTACAATGCACATGTTTTGAAGTGAGGATGTTCTCCTCACATCAAAAAATTAATGGCCCAAGGTATTGATAGTGTATAGGTTGAGAAACATTGAACTACAGTTAGAGAGGTGAGAACTGATCGTATTCAAGATATATTACAAAAGTAGAGATGACAAAACTTCTGAATGGATCAGATATTGAGTTGAAATAAAAAGAGGAAGATGAAGGACTCCAAGAATGTTTATATGATCTGAAAGCATGGAAGGAGTAAATATCATGAATGGAATACAAGCATTTTTTTTCCTAACACACAACAATAAATAACATATTATTTTAATGGATGTAACCTCAGTGTGACAAAAAATTGTCAAACATAATTTCCAACTGAAATCATTATTAGTCACATATATATAATTAAGATGCATACATACATATATAAGAAGATAGAAAAAAGTTATAAACCAGAATTCCTCTTAGGATAGACATTGTATAATTGTAAAATCGAATCTCCGAAGGGGCTGTTCTGTGCAAGGCAAGGGGAAGTTGCTTGTTACTGTGTTTCAGGCTTATCCCAGCCCCGGGGGTCAGAAAAGATTCTGTTCAAAATGGAGGGAGTTATATAGAGGAGGGCAGTGGAGGGTTTGGACTTGTTTTATAGCTTTTCGGCTTATCCCGCCCCATCTCAGAGCAGTAGGAATAGAAAAACAACAGAGAGAATAAAATGCCTAATGGTAACCACTCCCCAGTGTAATACCTTCCTAAAACTGCCCCCAAATTACACACACAAAAATGCTCTGAGAAAGTGCATTTGGAGGAGACACATATAGGAAAACAGGGCTTTGCTGCTGGGTGAACTGGAGTACACAGCCCTAAGACAACAGGGACAGACTCCAGAGGTGGAAGCAGAGAGAAGCGTGGGGAAGGAAGCCTGGGATGTACGGGAATTATGAAGTCAGAGGAGAACTCACACAGCTGTGAATTATAGGACCCGATCCATTTTAGCCAAACATATGTGACAGTTGATATCCATGTTATGTGTATATCTCTTTATAGAAAAGACTGAAAAAATTTACTCTAAGTCCTTGCCACCCCAAAATGTTTCACAGACCAGCAAGGTCAGCATATTTTGGGAGCTTGTTAGAAATGCAGAATCTTCATATCCACTGAATCAGAACCAGTTTTCACTTGATCCCCAGGTGATTTCCATGCAACTAAAACTTTTACATAGCACTGCTCTAAACCATTAACTATGCTAATTTCTATAATATAGCAAAAACTTCCAGTTTCAGGAAAAGATGGGAAGATTCACTTTTCTCTGCTTCTCTCTGTACACATAACTAAATACCCTAGAAACAGTTCAAATACAACTACTAAAAGGAACACAAAATTTGGAAAGAGGTAAATTCCTGAGGTCCACAGAACTTAAAAATTGACACCATTGTGAGTTCCCCGGGTCTCCTTTTATCTCCAATACTGGGTGCTGTTTTGGATAGGACTGGAAGCTGGAAACTGCAACAGGCAGAGAAAGAAGGGAAGAGCAGGAAGGAAGGGAAGGGGCTGGAAGAGAAGGGGAGTGGGGAGAGGACCTGCTCTCTGGTCATAGGACTAGGAAAGAAGAAGTCAAGCAGAGACATAGTGGTGAGATCCATTCTTAGTGGCAATGGTACTCCAGTATGCACACATTAGAAACATAAGCAGAAATCAAGAATGAAGGAAGGCTATCTCTTCCATGTCCCAAGCCCACGAGAAGCAGCAGGCTCCACTCCACCCCTATTCCACCAACAGCTCTCTCAATAGTAGATTCTTGGTGGGCTGATACATCTCATGCCCCACACCAGCCAGCAGCAGTTGGCCCTATTCTGCTGGCAGCAGCAGTGTTAGCAGAGCCCAAATAACAAGACCCAAACTTCAAGACAGCAACAAGATGGTCTCCTCTCTTATGGCAAGAATGCCACAAGGCCTAGTGTCCTCCTCACAAAAGCAGAGAACATCCCAGGGCCAGTGTATCTTGGCCCTACACCCATGGCAGTGAGCCACCAATTTAGGATCAGAAGGTGAACCAAGCTTGAAGTCTCTCTTTCAACCAATGGGAAAAACCTCCCAGACCCATGTCTCCGGGTCCTCCACCCAGCCACTAAAGACAGCCTAGATAGATGTTTCCTTCCCCTGTTGGCACCAACACAGATGAAGTGGAAAGCTCACTGCCACCAGGAAGCCAGAGGACAGGCCAGAGAGTTTACTCTTCATCCCAACCATTCTTCATCCCCCCATTCTTCATCTAGTGACACCAGGCAGCCCAGCAAAGCACTTTCACTTTCACAGGCAGCTTCAGCAGGGGTCCACTGAGGACTTACATGGAGCCAGAAGAACAAAGCAGGTCAGAATGGCATTGCAAGGCTCAGAAGACTAAGTTGTCATTGGAACTAAATCCCACAAAGAAGGCCAGAATCTACCCACTATCTAAATGACATCCACTGCTTTCACATTTCCCATTTGAGCTCCAGTTGGCCTGTTTTGCTGTTTGAATAAAGTTTGTGCTGCCATTATTTTTATATAGATTTATAAGACAATGTTCAATCTATACCTAATAACACTTGACTGTTATTTGGCATTATTTGTCTCAACTTGTAGTAGCATCAAGTTTAGCCCTACTCTATACCAATTCTCATGAAATTGTTCAGCCCAGTGTTCCATCAGTATACAGAGTCTGTTGAAGCAAAGAAGCGTCTTTTTTTCAAGTTGTCTGGCACACTTTGGGGCATACTAATGGAGAATCTCTACCTTTAATATTTAAAATATAAAATTAGTGTTCAACTGTTTCTGTTCTGCTTGGATTTCCTTTGGTTCTATCTTAATGAATCTTATTGACCTTGGATTTATATAAAAATGTGTCTTAAGGTAATAAAGAAGAGAGATCCCGTTCAGTTTACAAGGTACACAAAAGAAAATTTTTAAGTCCAAATACAAACATAAAATCAAGAAATTGATAGCTCTTCAATAAATGGAACTTGTTCTTCTGAATATTTCAAGATTGTGATTTTTTTGTAAGTAGCAATCTAAGCAGGGACATTACCTGTGAACTTAGAATGTAACATTCACTATTCTTTGCCTCTAGATACCGACTCATTGGTGAATCCTCTGCTGCATGCATCATTGTAGGCAATATTGTCGCCTGGGATAACAAAGCACCTATTTGTGAGAGTAAGTTGTAATATTCTTTACTATTATTTTTACCAATAGATTCTAGGTGTTCATCTGGGTTTATAAAAATCTGAGTTGAATTCCTTTTGTTCATTCTGTTCTTCAGATAGTGGAAGATGGCTCTAGTATCCTCAAAGTACTTGTGGGTTTCCTGGCAACTGTTTCACTGAGTTCTCTCTTATCTTGGGATGTGCCTTTTCTGAATCTGGGACTTAAATGTATAAAAGCCTCTAAAATTTATTTTTACTTCAATAATTTGGAATTCTGTTGGTTATGCAATACCCAGTGTAATAATCATTCTGCTTAGCAAAGAAAGAAAGATTTATAAAATGATGCTCTCTGAGGTTAGTGAAGCTGTGGAGGAACCAACATTCTCAGGTACTAAGGGTTTCACGAATCCTTTTGAAAAGCACTGTGTACTATAAGCCTCAAAAGTGGGTATGTATGTGAATTTTGGCCCAATTCTTAGAATTCATACTTAGGAGATAAACACAGATTTTTGTAAGGTGTTCACTGTAAACTTTTCATTGCTGCTTTCTTTATAATAGCAAAATTGTTACAGTAACCTAAATGCACTATGTATTTCAAATATACTTTAGAAATAAATACTACAAGGAAAGAAACATGGTAAAAAGGACTTTATAGGATATCCTAGGAAACATGAATACCACACATAATTAGGAGAAAGACATTTACATACTGGGAGTTTATTGAGTCATAAAAGAAAAATATGGAGAAGCTCTTAATGACAAATAAAGATGTTTATTACATATATTTTATATGAAAAAAACAAATGACAAAACAGTTTTATGGCAAGATCTCATTTTATTAAAAATAATACATCTATATCTATTTCTCTATTTCCATCTCTATCTCTAATTTTGCAAGCCTTTTTTATATCCAAATCCCGGTAAATGGTTTTAAGCCTCTTTGGTGAAGGCGAGGGGGAAAAGTTACATATACCTTTTTGGATGTGTAATTGGGTGCTTCCTCATGAAGGTCCAATCTCCCCTTTCTTCAAACACCTCTGTGCCTGTAAATGGGTTTCAAGTCTGGGAACTGGCTGATGAATAACCACAAGCCTTCATATCACCAGCCCTAGACTTTTTCTGGTTGTATAAACCAACCCTAACACTTTAGTCCACTATTCATCTATCTCACTTTTTGAGACTCCGGGATCAATTAACTGACAACAAAGTCTCTGCAGATAAATCATTATGATTTCTGTTTCAGTTGTCTCTGGCAATTAAGTGCTGCCACTTGGTCTCTGCCACACTGAGGTGTTTTCATCCCCCTTAATTTCAAGGAAACTGGTTCAGTAGCTACAGTTCCCACAGTCATGCTGGCCTACATTGAAGAGCCATTTCAGAGTTCTTCAAAGATGCTGGAGCTCCTATGTGAATGTATTTCTCAAAGTCTTGGAGAAAGGTCTCTCTTTCAACCCATTTCTCCACCCATCCCCAACCCAACCCTATAGACTTAGTTAAGGAGTGAGTGATCAGGTCTTTTTTTTAAAATATTTTTAAAATTTATTTTAAGAGAGGGGAAGGGAAGGAGATAGGGAGAGAAATATCAATGTGTGGTTGCCTCTCATGTGTCCCCCACTGGGAACTGGCCTGCAACCTAGGCATGTGCCCTAACTGGAATCAAACTGTGATCCTTTGCTTCACAGGCCCACACTCAATCCACTGAGCTACACCAACCAGGACTGATCAGGTCTTTTAAAATTAACCCACTCTTGCATTCTCAGTTCCCTATTTCCTACTGGGGACTTGTGCCCAGAGCCAAGAGGGTTCTTGGCTTTGCATGGGAAGTAATTCAAGACCCAAGTTAGACAGATAAAAGGTGAAAGTGGAAAAGCAGGTTTTACTGAGTAGAAAGAACAAACAAGAAAAGCCACTCCATAGGCACAGTAGGATGAGAGAAGGAAAAGAAAGACCCCAACCACCTCTAAAGGGTGAGCTTATATCTATTCATACTTTCTATGAAAAATTGGGGGTGTGTGAAAATAGACAGTGGAAAAAGTTGGGATTAACTTTAACCTCTGCAAGATATGTTTCATGGCCTTGTGTTCTCCCTTTATGGCACAGGTGACAAACACAAGTCCTGTGGGCTGAATTCAGCCCTCCACCTTGTTTTATCTGGCCCAGCACCTTGTTTCTACCAGGCAACAACACTGAGCTCCTTGCCCCAAGTTAAGGAGTTGTTATATGTATACAGTTCTAAAATTATATTCAGCCCTTTGAAGGCAACCATGAAGCTGATGTGGCCCCCAGTGAAAATTAGTTTCACACTCCTGCTTTATGGTATGGGTAAATAATAAGGTACTAATCAACCTTTGCAAGAATTTTCTTTTTCCAGAGGTTTCTCATGGTCTGCTTGCATCTCCGATCAGCTGAGTGCCATGCTAGGCAGCACTCAGCAGGCCCCTGACCTACCTTTGTCTTTCTTTAGTTAATTTGTGTAGTTCTCATGCCCCTTTCCATATTAATAGGGTTTCTTCCTCTGAGGTATGTTAGTAGAATTCTGGCCTTTCAACTTTTTTCAGTATAATCCACACTCAGACTAACACATTGAAATCAGAATCTCATTTCTTTTGGTATGTTTGCACCTCTCATGAGTCATAATTTTTATTCCCTCTCTACCCAACTCCACCTCCAGTCCTGCCAGGACTTGATCCTGGTCAAAGGATGTGAGGTGGTAGGTGTAGGTAGTGAGGAAGAGCATGAGTTGTTATCATTTGAGTTGCCATGATTAGTAAATAAAAACATACTATACCCAGTTAAATTTGAATTTCAGATAAACTAATATTTTTAGAGTATAGATATGCACCATGCAATCCTGGGCTATACTTACACTTAGAAATTTGTTATTATTTTTCTGAATTTCAAATCTAACTAGACCACCTATATTTCCTCTGGTAACTATATCAGGGCAGCTACCTACAGAGGGGCTACTAGAGTTTCTTCAGGCAAGTGGAGGCTTACCTTCTCAGACAGGGGAGGAAGGGCTGCTTCTCCTAGTAAAGGACAACTCAGCAGAATTTCCAGGTTCAAGTTATTGAAGTTATTCCAAGCTTCACTGGAATCTGTCCATGTATCTCCAGCTCACTTTTCAGAATCCTCTCCAAGCATTGCTCCAACTCTATCATAGAGACCCTGTGAAGCTGTGAATTCAATTTGCATTAGAATTCAGCCACGGGCTTAGATGTTGGATTTGTTTTTCAGAAATCTTTGCCCTGTGGCTATGGGATACAATTGTATTTCAGTGCAAATATATAGACTTTCAGATCCAGACACTGACCAGGAATTTAAACTTTGAACTCACCATTTTCATTCTCTCAAATTCTCTCCTGTACTTGAAAGCAAGCAACCAACCCTAGGATATGCCTCCCTGAAATATTCTTGGACAGCAACCACTTTGTCTCTCAAAGCTTTGCTTCCATGCTTATAGATGGCTACATGTGATAGCTAGGTGATCATTTGTCCCTGCATGCCATCAACTATTTGTGTGCCCTTTTCCATAGTAGCATTAACATTCATTACTTAAATATAATCATAATAATCATATTAGAGAACCAATCATAGTTTCCTCTGTTACCCTGGGATAAATATTTGTCCAAATACAGAAGCAAAACTACCAGAATTATGAAATAAGAGGTTTATTATGGAATTAGAACTTACTGTGTGAGCACCTAGTCTAAAAACATGAGAAGCATCATTAACCAGGTGCCTCAGAGCTGGAACTTCTACGAGGAGAAAGACACCTGGCTGCTGGGGTAGAACTGTGAGGAGCTGGTGTAGAAAACTGTAAGGATGGCTGGCTCTTCACAACTGCTGCTTCTGCTGCTCTAAGTTCATAGTGACACATCTAACAATGGGCAGGATTCAGTGTATGTGAGCAGGTCCAGCATTTTTGGGGAGCTATATGCAAAAAAATGGGGAGCAACAACAAACCAAATCCCCAGGTCCTCTGCATCTGTCCCCCAGTCACCTCCAGCCTAGGATGACCTTCAGAGGAGATTGGCTATTGCTTCACTTCTGCCCTCAAATTTCAGGCCAGTTTCTTAAGCTTCAACCCTAACCTAGAGCCTTATAGGCAAAGTAAGTCTGGGTGACCTAATTCAATTTAGCGTGAGTGACACTGTATAAAACCACTATACAAGTAGAATATAACTTATTTTCCTTTCTCTCCACTCTTTACCACCCTCCCTGTTTGCAACTTTCTTTATCTTTGTAAATGAATATTAGTAATTTATGTTTGCACTTATATCATTTAGATTTTTTGAATGTTTAAAATACAGTAGTCTACAGTTTCATAAATGTTCTTGTGTATATGCAAATATATTCAAATTCTATTTCCTACTGCTACATGTCTGTGTTGCTTCTCTTTTCTTATATATTTTATTTAAGGCAAGGATCTTTTGATTTTATTTCTTTAAAAAGCTATTCTGATTTCATTTCTAACAAAAATGAGAGGAAAACAATTGGAAAAGAGTGAGGGGAACACTGTGTAAACTATGTCATCATATAAATAAGTGCTATTTGCAATGAAAAGAATGTGAATTGTATTAATAAATGGACATGTTTACAGGGGAGGGGAGAGCAAGGGGGTAATTGGGGCATCATTTTATAATAAAACAATAAAAAGTGGGAAAAACAAGTAAATAAAAATATGCAATATTAACAATGTGAATTGTGTTAATAAATAGATGTTTATAGCAAATAATATAAATAGAAAATGCAGAATTATGCTTTTGTTTTGCACAACAATTACAACTTTGTAAAATCTAATCTACATGTTAGCAAAGGTTAATAGCAAATAATGAATGTTATAATGACAATAGTTTAGTTAGTAATTCATTGGAATGTTCTCACTAGTTATGTCCATTCACTATTATTTAAATTGTTTCCTTTTCCAGGTATTAAATGTGAGCCACCCCCAGCCATCTCCCACGGGGATTTCTTTAGCATCAACAGAGAGTATTTTCCTTACGGAACGGTGGTGAAATATCGCTGCAATCCTACAAAGACAAGGGAAAAGTTTGTCCTCGTGGGTGACGAGTCAATATATTGCACCAGCAAAGACAATCGTTTTGGCACCTGGAGCGGCCCTCCACCTCAGTGCCTCATACCTAATAAATGCACCCCTCCAGACATTGAAAATGGAATAAGGGTATCTGAGAACAGAAGCTTCTTCTCCTTAAATGAAATCGTGAGGTTTAGGTGTGAGCCTGGCTTTGTCATGAAAGGACCCTCCAGTGTGCGATGCCAGGCCCAAAACAAATGGGAGCCAGAGTTGCCCAGCTGCTCCCGGGGTGAGTCTGACTGAGGCTTTGAAGGGGCCTGCAGAGGACCCGAGCTGTAGGAGGACCAGGGTATTGGTGTATGTTCTGGGGGTTATGTTCTGGGTGGTGAGTGGTGTGAGTAAAGTTTCTTGGGATGAGGCATAAAATTAAGTCAGTGTGTGTGTTTTTGTGCATGTAAGTGTGTGTGCGTTCAAGTTGAAAAACAAAGCTGAATACCATCACAGAATGTGAGGTTTCCTTAGGATTCTAATAAACAGAAGTTCTCTGAACTTGTCACTATCTCCATTTTTCATCATTTACCAGTTACTCTTGAGTACAGTAGTAAGTGATTTCTCTGTTTGGGCATGAAAATATAAGCTGAAAACAATGGCATGTCCTAGTTACCATTCTTTCATGATTTACAGAGAAAATTGAGTCTTAGAGAGGATAGAAAACTTTCCAGGATTAAACAGATACTAAGTCATAGACTAAAGACAGAAATCCAAGTTTGCCTGACTCCAGAACCGTGGAAATCAAAAGGCAATCTAGGTAATTCAAGGAGTGGGGGATTTAGTACAGATAATAGGATATAAGACTGTTGGAAAGGCAGGAAGAGCAAATGGAGGAAGGCTGTTTGCAGAGTGCAGGAAGCTGCCCTACTTCTGGGGTAGCCCACACACAGCTACACTCACTGCTAAAACTGTCACTGAGAAGCTTCTCCTCCAAAGCTGATGTAGATTCCAGGATGCAGCTGAGGTCCCTGGAGCCAAAGCCATGGCATTGCTAGAAGTGATGTTGCCACTGCCCAGCAAGGACCACCAACACTGCTACTTCCCAAGCCTCCTCTAGAAGAAGAATGGCCTATCATCTTCCTGCCTTTTAATTTGCTATATATTCCACCAATTGACCAAGTCTAACCACAACCCAGCTGGAAAGAAAGATAAGCAATTGTAGTTTGCAGGCTTCCAGTCTAGTCAAAGGAGAATGCAGAGATGTGAAGCAGGTGGTTCACAGAAATGTAATCAACGCAGCATTTAAGTATCACATCGCTGTGCTTTTGTTAATCAAGACAGGCAGGGGGTTAATGAGCCCTGAACATGGCTTTTAGGGCCTCAGAATGTTTCCAACATCATTTATCTAGTCTAATCCCCGATTTTATTTTATTCTTTGTTTTTTAAATATATTTTATTGATTACGCCATTACAGTTGTCCTATTCCCCCCTTCATTCCCCTTCACCCTGCGCATCCCTCCTCCACCATTCCCCCCCTTTTGTTTATGTCCATGTGTCACAAGTTCTTTAGATTCTATATTTCCCATACTATTCTTGCGCTCCCCCCATCTATTTTCTACCTACCATCTATGCTACTTATTTTCTGTACCTTCTCCCCACTTCTCCTCCCACTCCCCTGTTGCTAACCCTCCTAGTGATCTCCAGTTCTACGGTTCCACTCCTGATCCAGCTGTCCTCTTAGTTTGCCTTGTTTCAGGTGTGGTTGTTAATAACTGTGAGTTTGTTGTCCTTATTTTTATCTTCTTTTTCTTAGATAAGTCCCTTTAACATTTCATATAATAAGGGCTTGGTGATGATGAACTCCTTGAATTTGACCTTATCTGAGAAGCACTTTATCTGCCCTTCCATTCTAAATGAAAGCTTTCCTGGATAAAGCAATGTTGGATGTAGGTCTTTGGATTTCATGACTTGGAATACTTCTTTCCAGCCCCTTCTTGCCTGTAAGGTCTCTTTTGAGAAATCAGCTGACAGTCTGATGGGTACTCCTTTGTAGGTGACTGTCCCCTTATATCTCACTGCTTCTAGGATTCTCTCCTTCATTTTAATCTTGGCTAATGTAATGATGATGTCCCTTGGTGTGTTTCTTCTTGGGTCCAACTTCTTTGGAACTCTCTGAGCTTCCTGGATTTCCTGGAAGTCTATTGCCTTTGCCAGATTGGGGAAGTTGTCCTTTATTATTTGTTCAAATAAGTATTCCACTTGTGGCTCTTCCTGTTCCCTTTCTGGTACCCCTATAATTCAGATGTTGGAATGTTCAAAGATGTCCTGGAGGTTCCTAAGCCTCTCCTCATTTTTTAAAAATTCTTATTTCTTCATTGTTTTCTGTTTGGTCCTTTTTTTCCTTCCTTCTGGTCTACTCCCTTGATTTGAGTCCCAGTTTCCTTTCCATTACTATTGATTTCCTGTGCATTTCCCTTCATTTCAATTAGTTTAGCCTTCATTTGTTCCTCTAATTTGTGACTAAAATCAACCAGTTCTGTGAGCATTCTGATCATCAGTGTTTTGAACTGTGCATCTGAAAGTTTGGCTGTCTCTTGGTCACTTAGAATATTGGCTCTGGGGCTTTAAGCTATTCTTGAGCCATAATGTTTTGGTCTGTTCTCACCTGTTATGTATGAGGGGTGGAGCCTTAGGTGTTCATCAAGACGGAGCAACCCAGTTGCTGGGCTGTATGTGGGGGCAGGGTCAGAGATGGGCAATGGCATTTGTTCCTCTCTCTCTCAGATTTTTCTCCCTTCTGCCACTTCCCACAAGCAAATTGGGCCCTTCTGGTGCTGGTTCCAGGTGTGTGGGCTTGTGTACCCTCCAGAACCCTGTGGATCTCTCCAACAAACTCTCCCAGCACCTTGACCCTCAAAGTCTTTCCAATTGGTGCTTTCAGGCTCTAATTCCTGTTGCTGGGGCTCTGGCCTGAGTGGTCTGTCTCACCGCTCACTCCTTTGCTTGGTTTATCTGTGCTCAAATGCATTACTGTGGTCATCCAGCCGCCCTGCACCCTCGCTGGGTCTGCCCATTGCCAACCATGCCTGGGATCTGCCAACCACTGCCTGTGATCCTGGGTCAGTCAACCGATCTTTCCTGCTCAACCCCACTCTACCACTGACTCCTCCTCCCCTCTTACCAGTCTGGCCGAATGGTTCATGGTTGTCAGACTTCCGTACAGTTCAATTTTCTGTGTTTTGGCTGCATTTTTTTACTAAAAATTTGTTGTCTTTAAACTTGGTTGTGTGAGGAGGTACAGTGTTCCCACCTACGCCTCCATCTTGGCTGGAAGTCTCCTTCAAATGTCTTAATCCATCACAGCACCAACTCACCAGAATCTCAACCAAATCTTACCAGCTCAGAAGCGTCAAATCTCATCATGTAAATCAGTATCTGCAAGGGCTCCAGGTACAACCCATGCTGAGGCATAATTTTCTGTGAACCCACATTGCAGGTTCAATTCCTAGTTGGGGTGCATACAAGAAGGCAGCCAATCGATGTTTCTCTTTCATGTTGATGTTTTTCTTTCTTCCTCTCTCTCTCTCTCTCAACATTTCCCAATTATCCGCTCCAAGCCTGTTTGTTATTGTACAGACCCAAAGATTTGCAGTACAGTCACGTCTTTCCAGCATTTTCAAAAGGGCTACAAAATTGTTTGGGTGCAGCCATTTTCTCTAATCCCCTATTTTATATTTGAGAAAGCTGAAGTCAAGAGAGGGGAACTGACCTTCTCTAAGCAAAAATGAAATGATTTTTTTCATTTCACTACAGTTTCATATAATTTATTTGAGATCAAGTACATTCAGACTAAGTTAAAATAACTCCTCAAGAGACAGTCAGAGACTCAGTTACAATATGCTGCATACAATATGCACTCTCATTAGGAGAGCTGTACTTTTTCTAGAAGATTTTGTTCAGTGGTTGCCTATCTTTTTGTTGGCATGAAATGAATGGTTAAGTGAGACCTGGCTATATGGATTATAGAAAAGAGTCTCAGAGTTCTCCAAGTCATTTCAGGGGGCCACCAAGAAAGGAGTTACAAGGGGATGAGAAAAGATGTGAGTCTTCTTTGTTGTACTAGATGTGGTCAGTAATTAGCAAATCTGTTAGGTAAGACTTGGACACAAGCATTCTTTATTGCCAAAAAGTAAAAGTTGGTGATGCTTTTCTAGAAAGTAGTGTGAAGATTAAAAAAATCCTTCAAGCCCTGGTGAGGTGGCTCTGTTCAGTATAGCATCATTCCCATACATCAGGGTTACAGGTTCAATTCCCCATCAGGGCACACATGGGAAGTGACCAATGAGTGCATCAGTGGGTGGAATAACAAATTGATCTCTCTCTCTCTCTCTCTCATTGCCATTAATAAAATAAAGATACTAGTCAGCCAAATTAAATATATATATATATATATGGATTTAAATTATAATTCTGTTGTTCAGATTACCACTGAGAAAAAAGGGATTTTCATACAATTAACAGCACTTGGGTCTCTTTTTCCAGTATGTGAGCCACCTCCAGAAATCCTGAATGGTAAGCTCACCCTCAGTGACAAGGACAACTTCTCCCCTGGGCAGGAAGTGTTCTACAGCTGTGAGCCTGGCTATGACCTCAGAGGGGCTGCCTCTCTGCGCTGTACGCCCCAGGGGGACTGGAGCCCCGCAGCGCCCAGATGTGCAGGTATATACACTCCTCTCCCATTTGAAGTTTTTAGCTTGGGGCTTTATTCTCCATCTGCCTAGGTTACCTGTTTTCCTTTTTTTTTTTTTTTTTTTTTTTTCAGTGAAATCATGTGTGAAATTCCTGGACGAACTTCCTAATGGCCATGTGCTCTTTCCACTTAATCTCGAGCTTGGAGCAAAAGTGTCCTTCGTTTGTGATGAGGGGTGAGTGTGAGCTTGCCAGGCCTTCTGGAGACTGAAATTGGACTTAGAAGTTAATTCAAAGGGGGAAGTTTTGGTGTGGGTAGAAAAAGAAAAGCCTCAGGGACATTAAATTTTGAAAGTGTGTAAGAAAACTAAGTAAGAAACACATGGAACTACTAATATGAGCTAAGAAGGAAAAATTGGGACATATATTAAATGGCATATATAAAGATAATATAATAAATGGTTATGAATACATATATTATACATTGTTTGAAAAAAGCATATTTTCTAAGCAGAGAAGAATAAAAGTTCTGGAGAGTCCCAAGAAAAGTTTGATATGTAACAAAAAGCTTATTAAAATACTAAGATTATTTAAGAATTATCGGTCATTTCTTTAACAATCAAAAGTGGAATTTGTAATAGGAGCAAAAGTATAATAATAAGTATTTTAATGTAATAATATATCTACTGGGTTAAGATCATATATCTATCATTGGGTTAAGTGTTCTGAATTGTGATCATGGTGGCTGATGTGACGTTTTAGGTAAGGCCATTAACTTGTTTGTGTGAATCTGGTGCTCTTCAGTGTGTGCACATCTGGGCATGGGAAGGATCAAGCATGAGCCATGAAAGACCTGTCTCAGACTGTTCCAAAGAATCCCAGCAGGCACCCAATGCCAGAACCCAATAAGATTTAAGAGCCACCAGGGTCCCACATAACATTGAAAATTCTGGATGCTTTCATACGAAGTAATTTCTGATCTCCTTTCCTTTTCCCCTGGAGTATTCAAACCTAGTCTCCAGTGGCCCAGTGTGCTTTTGTGAGCCTCCCTCACAGCCATCACAGATGTAGAGACCAAAGAACAGCCCTTGTTCTCTCTGCAATTATTCTCTGTTTTGTTTTTTCAGTCCAAACTGGGAACTGTTTTAGTTGCTCTCAAATTATCAGAATTAGGTGGCCATTGCATTAGAAAACTGAGTTTCCCATCAGAGCAATGAGTAGAGATTTATCAGGTTTGTGTTGGAACAGTCAGCTAAAGATTCACTTCTCAAAGTCTGAGTCCAGGATCAAGGAGATGGCTGCTCTGCTATGCCTGCCTTCTTCAAGGCTGGGACTGCATGTTATGTGACCAGCTCACAGTGCTTTACTGTTCTCTCCTCCTAGAGGCCATGATCTGTCCAGATTGGAGTGGCCTGCAAACCTCTGTCACCTGTTGGTTTAAGATGCTTAGAGTTTTGGCAAACTGAATGGCATTTTGGCTAAACCAGCTTGCCTATTCATTACCTTTCTCTTCTTTAGATTCCATCTAAAAGGCAATTCTGCTAGTCATTGTGTCTTGGCTGGAATGGAAAGCCTTTGGAATAGCAGTGTCCCTGTGTGTGAACGTGAGTAGAAGGAAAACACTTTAGGACAATTTCTTTTTTTTAACCTGGTTAATATTTTGACCTGCAAACATGGGTGGCCATACTATGGCCATCCCTTCATGGTCTTGTTTTTTTATCTGAATTATTGTGAAATAGTTGCTGACTTTACTAGTATTTATCTGTGATCAATTTGTTGAGATGCACTTTGCTGTACACCATGAATTTGGGGAAGCATTTGCTCTCTGTCATTTTGAATTCTGTGTTCTATGTGATATATCCTAGTTTCCTTTCAAGTCAATCGAGATTAAATAATGTGAATCTTTGACAATCTCTTCCTTCCTTCATTTTTTTCCTTCCTTTCCTAATTCTTTCTTTTTTCACCCACCAGATTGCAATTGTTCTACAATTTTCCTGCTTATTTTCTAATATATAAACACAAACATTCTTTTTTTACATTTGATGCACATCACAAGTTTTGTTTTACATCTTTTAATAGTTCACTTTCTATTATATTTTTTGTATTACCACTTACCCCAATACACTTTTCTACTACCATCTGCATGCCTCTCCCTCCCCATAACTACACTTTTGTCCTTTTCCATAGTTCTTTCTTTTCATCTCAATCTTCCACCTTGCAAACCCGATCCCCAAATCTCTCAACACACTATTTATATCTGTCTCTATTTTTAAAAATTTATTCATTGAAACAACTATTTCCTGAGTGCATAGTATGTGTTTGAATGTCTCTTAAACACTGATGTTATACCAGTGAACAAGATAAGTTAATTCCCCATCCCCTTCTTATTTATTCCAAGGTGAGTGATAGTCAGGAAAATGAGCAAACAAATAAATGTTATGGAAGCAATTGCAAGAATGAGGGCAAAGTGAAGAGCAACATTATATGAGATAAGCAGTTTAAGATTCCTTAAACTCTCAAAAATGTAACTAAATAAACTATGTTCACAAGTAATAAGCTGATGAAAAATGAGTCTTTGATGTGTAGCATCAATACCATGTTCTCCTATTCTTCTCATTTATATTTTGCCCAATATAAAACAAGAACTTGCTTCATCTCTTGATCATAAAGATTGGAATATATATGTCAATCAAATTTTACTACAATGTTTTTGTTGCTAAATATATATGTTGCATCCACCAACGTGAGAGACAAATTGTCAGAAACTTTCAGGATTCAGAGATGTTATTTTATTGGCCAAAGTTTTAACCTGCGCAGGGGCAGACCCTCAGAGTGTCTGGAGACACAGTGCTCATAAGAGCTGCAAACGAGAGCCGCCCTAAGCGCTTACAGCTAAGTCTTTTTATAGATGTGAGCAAGCAAGCATTGTATAGAAGCAAACTTGGCTGTTAGCTACTGGCTACTTGGGTGGTGCAAGCATGACCTAAGCTTTCTGGGTTTTGAGTAATGGAAACATTTTAATCTAGATACTTGAACAGGTGGTCCTCTACTTGTTCAGCCCCATTGGTTTTGTAGTTCCACCTTCTCCACTCCCTATGTTCTTTCCTAATTTCCTTGTGGTTTCTGCCTCCAGGCCAAATCTCTTTAAGGCAGTCCCTATTTTATTCTCTATTTTTCTGGTTTCAACAATATACTCAGACATGAAAATGTACTTTTTATAGTAAAACTTATAAGAATATGACTTATATGTACATGTCTGCTATCCATGAAACCAAATATTTCTTGATGAGACATAATAAGTGGCTGGCTAAGGGACATGTATTAAAGCTCAGTTACTGATTGAACTATATTTCTTATTTTTTATGACTCTTCCTTATTGCAGTAGCTTCTTCCAAACCCTAAGCCTAGTTAGAAACAACAATAAAAATGAGAATGGGACTGCTTTAAACAGAAAAACAGCAACTAGAAATAGGTAACAATTTGAAACCTTGTCAAAATAAAGAAGAAAATTAAGTCACAAGCAGATCCATATATTTTAAAAAAAGAAAACAATTGAATTGCTAAGAATTATTACAATGACCAAAGATGCTCCAATTCATTGTGTCAGCACACTGTCATAATCAAGATTGATGGCCAGTATAAATAAATTATCAAGGAAGGGTTTCATATCTTTAATCTGATTAGTACACACGGATACTATGTAAAAATTTTTATCAAGTATGTAAGCTCCTTGGAAGACAATGACTTTATCGTGTGTGTCCCAGGGCCCTGAAGAGTGGCTGGCACAGAATAAGTGCTCAAGTAAAATTTATTAAGTATTTGAATGAGTTACCTTTCTAAGGGATATTTTTCTTCTAAAGATTTTTAATAAAGTTAAAATATTTCTAAAATATTTTCCTTCCAAACTTTTGGAACTTAATTTAAGTGTGTCAAGTTTTATTATCCAGAAGACTCAACTATCAGGGAGATTCAAGATAACCCACTTCTTTTGTACTTTTTCAATGAGAAATGACAGTGAGATCTTATTTCATTTGGCTCATCTCATCAAAGGCCTACACCAAAGACATACTGTCATAATTTTTTTAAGATAGCACCAACTCTAACACCCTATGACTGTGGAATACCTCTGGAGAAAACTCCTCAGTGAAGCTTACAGCCTTTGCCTTCTTTCCAGAAATCTTATGTCCAAACCCACCAGATATCGATAATGGAAGACACACAGGAGAACCTCTGGAAATCTTTCCTTATGGAAAAGAAGTAACTTACACATGTGACCCCCACAAAGACAGAGGGACGACCTTCATTCTCAGTGGGGAGAGCACCATACGCTGCACAAGTGACAGTCAAGGGAATGGGATTTGGAGCAGCCCTGCCCCTCGCTGTGGACATCCAGGTTAGTGCACACTACCCCACATCCTAAATGGTTCCAGAATACCTAAAATAGAACTTCCAAAATTTTGGGAGTGGGCACCGTTTACAATTGCTTTGTACACAACAAAGCAATTGAAATTAAGACATTTTGGCCTAGGTTGTAAATTAAAATAATGCTTATTTGGTTCTTTGCTTCCAGTAATTTTAGTCATTTAATTCTTCTCACTTTAGTACAAGGGAATTGAACAGGAATATCAACCTGAAGGAAAATACAAAACAAAGAGAGTATGTATATCTAAGGTCTGGAGAAGGTTTCCTAAGACACCCGCCACTCTAAGACAGCCATCTTCAGGACATAAACACAGAAAGGAGAAAGTGAATTGTACAAGGGACCCTAGTCTTGACATTACTTACCGACTACTGAGAAACTCTGAGAGAAAAAAAACAATCCTAAGAGAAAAAGAACCAAGGGAAATTTCTCAGAAGTCATTTTTGTCCTCACTGCCCTCCTCTATCATAATGGCTTCAATGTCAGGTGCACTTATGAGACTGTTTACCAATGTAGAGACCTAGTCCATACTTACTGAATCTATAATGAGACATAATCTTCCCTTAAGTTCTATGATTTTGTTTTTCATCACAACCCTATCTGAAATGGCAACCCTTGTTTTATTAGATAGATTAGACTGGAGATATCTTCATGTGTGATTTGTCCTTAGGGTTACATTTCAATCATAATTGGGACTCCTTGAACTGGAAGCTAGTAGAATTAATATTTCAGCTGCAAGATAAAAGTAAAGGGTGATATAAATAAACTAATATCACATGGAAATCTTGAAAATAAGCCAATATTTTTATGTAGAGAAATCATTGAATAATCTCAAGAGTTGAGAAATTGCTTTATAATCTTCCAACCAAAAAAGTTCTGGGTGCAGAATTGGTTGTGATATAACCATTTCTGTTTGAATAAGTGATTGGAAGGGAGGTGGAGAACAGCTGAAAGAGAAACCAAAAGAGAAGGTATTGTCAACCCAAGTAGAAATGATTTCTATTTTTCTAAGCATATGTACTTTATTAGAGTCACACATTTTGAACCCAAAGTGAGCCTAGAGCTAATAGGCCATAGGGGCATGGAGCTTTAAGTAGAATTTAATTCAATATACACTTCCAACAATGTTTTCTCATAATGGCAAATGTAGTATGTTAGTTTGTTTATTTTAAGGAGATGCTATCGGTTCCCCCTTGTGTCAAAGTGGCTTGCTTAGGAATCAGACCTACAGAACTAGTGGCTTCTTCCTAGTGTCAAGAAATACCTTGTGTTCTCTGATCACACTTGTGAGCCCTCCATGGGGGTTTCGATGCACTAAAGGACAAGGAAACCAGGCAGAAATGGTGGAATCTGGGCAGGAGAGCTCTTTCCCCCCCAAAAAAAAGGGGAAAATTGAATTGGAGCTGTTTTGTACAGTAAATTATATGAGCAAAATGACCAAAGAGTGGAATGCCCTTTCAGGAAGTATATTTTCTAATGGACATGTGCTAATAATGGAACTTCCCCTCCCAAGGTTAGGTGGAAATGATCTCTCCAGGACTAAAAGTTTCTTTTGCTCTGGCATCAACTCTAATGGGTGAGAGAAATAAGGTCCTTGGGTATCTTTACATTAAATGTGCTGTTCTTGATATCTTGTTTCCTAGGTTACTGTAATGCCCCAGGTCATTTTCAATTTGCTAAGCTGAAAATCCAAACCAATGAATTTGAGTTTCCTGTTGGGACATCACTACAGTATGAATGCCTCCCTGGGTACTATAGAAAGTCATTCTCTATCAGTTGTCTAGACAACCTGGAGTGGTCAAGTGCCAAGGATGTCTGTCAACGTGAGTAAACCCTGCATTGGAGCTTTACGGTGTCTGTCAAATTATCCATAGGATCTTATCTAATCTTTTCCAAGTTTAGAGATAAGGAAACTTTGCTTCTCACAAGTGCCCCCACAGGTGGATGTAAGTCAGTGTTGTAGATCATCCCTAATTATTAGTTGATGTGTTTGTTTCATGAGAATTTTCCAAGAAGTATTTGCAGGAAATGAAACATGTTTTACAGGAAAAAATAGAGAAGATAAATTGTTTGAATAACCAGGTAAGAAGAAAAAGTTTATACTAGTATGCAATAAGGCCATAATTAACCTTTACATTTTGATGACAAATTTCAGGTAGAGATAAGACAGGTCTAGATGAGAAGTCTGTGTTAACATGGTGTCTAGTAAGCAGCCCAACTCAGTTGGGTAAGTCAAAAATCTGTGGAACCTTCAGAATTGTATGTACTTGTTGGACAGCTATACAGTGAGGTTGGGACCTTATGTACTATAAAAGTTCATATTACTCTGGCTCCAAAATTCTGTTTCTTGCCACAGGTAAAGTATGTAAAACTCCTCCAGATCCATTGAATGGCATGGTACATGTAGACACAAACACCCAGTTTGGATCCAGAATTAATTATACTTGTAATAGAGGGTAAGTTGGCAGTAACATCTTTGATTCAAGATTTGCAGAATGGCAATACTACCGTTTAGTCACATGGCAGTAGAAAGGAGACTAGACTATAACCATCTGCTGCTTAAAAGCCTGAACCTACATGTTTCGGTGTCTGATTGAAATGAACAAAGGTATGACAAGATAAAGGGGGAAATCTGTTAATCTTGCTGGAAAACACTACAGTGCATATAACAAAATCAAGGTCCTCACCAGGTACAAAGGAAGAAAATGTGGGGAGAGTATAGTCAAACCATATAGTGAAACCGTATAAACAGCCCTAACACAGTGCACATTGCTGGAATAAAGGGAAGCCCATGGAGCATTGAGTGAGAAAACAAATCTTCAAGGTAAATGCACTATTAGTTTTCTAGGGCTGCCATAACAAAGTACCAGGAACTGGGTGTCTGAGAACCACAGAAATGTATTCTCAGACAGTTTTTGAAGTCCAGAAGTTCAAAATTAAGGTGCTGGCACAACATGATCCCTTCAAAGCCTCAGAGGGAGGTGCTCTCCTTACTTTTGCCAGCTACTGGTAGCCTCAGTCCTTCTTGGCATGTGGCTACATCACTCCCACTTCTGCCTCTGTCTTCCCATGGCCATCTTCCCTCTGTGTCTGTGTGTCCCCTTCTTCCCCCTCACCACACACAGAATTTCTCCTCTCTGTATGGCTTAATGTCCAGAGTTCCATCTTTATAAAGATGCCATTCCTATTGGATTAGGGCCACCCTAATGGCCTCATGTAGTCTTGATTACATCTTCAAAGACCATACTTCCAAATGAGGCCACATTCATGGGGATTGGGATTTAGGAGTTTAACATATCTTTTTGAAGAAAACTATTTAGCCTGCAATAGACCCCTGTGAAAATGTCTGACATAAAATGTGTACTAGGTGGTTGTCCTGCCCTTGGTGTTTACCCTTGCTCAGCACACAGTGGACTCTTGACTGTACTCTCATTTTGAGCAGCTGAGCCCATTAGAGAATCTGGGCTACATTTGTGCCACAATTAGCACTGGAAGGTCATTTTGGTCTGTCCTCAGCAAATGTATTTGCCACCCAAGGCCTAGAAGACCATAGTACATGTAATCTGACAAAGTAAAATTAGAGCAAATCTAAATACTTTCTCTTTCTCTGAGCACTTTTAAGTACAGTCTCTAAATACTCTGGCTGTACCTTCTTCATCTTTCATTACTGAGTGAGGTGAACCTGTCTATTGTATGAAACAGCAAACCATCAAGCTCATGACAAATCACAGAAAAAATGTAAACAGACCAATTTGAAGAATCAGTACTTCTTCTCACAAAACAGAGTTGCTTCCAAGAGATTGGGAAGACTAATCAAAAAATGTCTGGTGTATGTATTTTTTAACTTTAATTTTATTGTTGACACTGTTAGAATGTTCCAGCTCCACACTTTTGCCCACCTGCACTGAGACCATGGCCCACCTTCCCTCTGACCATCACCACACTCTTGGCTGTGTCTCTGGGTTATGCAACTATGTTCTTTCACATTTATCTTCATGTTCTCTTATCCAGTTCCCCTCCCCTCTCCTCTGACAGCCGTCAATCTGTTCCATGTATCCATGCCCCTGCTTCTATTTTGTTTGTGAGTTTGTTTTGTTCATTAGACTCCACATATAAATGAAAAAACATGAAATTTTTCTTATTTGGATGGGCTTATTTTACTTAGTATGATAACTTCTAGCCCTTGATAATTTCAATGGCCATCTGTGTATCTTCTTTGGATAAGTGTCTGTGGAGGTCCTTCACCCATTTTTTCTTATGTAAATTGGAATTATTGTTTTCTATTTGTTACATTTTCATTGTTGTTCCAGTATAGTTTTCTACATTTTCAGCCTACCATGCCTCCACGCCCAATCCATCCACACCTCACATCCTCAAACCTACTCTCTTTGACTTTGTCCATTTGTCCTTTTTACACACGTGTCCACGTGTGTTTTTCAAAGGCCCTTCTCCTATTATCACCTATGATCTCTCTCCCCTGTCCTCTCTGGTTACTGTCACTTTGTTCTTGATTTCATCCTCTCTGATTGTATTTTGCTTGCTTCTTTGTTTTGTTGATTAAGCTGCACTCATAGGTGAGATCATATGGTATTTCTCTTTCACTGACTGGCTTATTTCACTTAGCATAATGTTTTCCAGTTCCATCAGTGCTGTCCCAAAGGGTGGGAGCTCCTTTCTTTCTTCTGCATAGTATTCCTGTGTATAAATGCACCAGTTTTCGATCCACTCATGTACTGATGGGCACTTAGGTTGCTTCCAGTACTTAGCTATTGTAAATTGTGCTGCTAAGAACACTGGGGTGCATAGGTTCTTTTGGATTGGTGTTTCAGGATCCTTAGAGTACAACCCCAATAACAGTGGTATTGCTGGGTCAAAAGGCAGTTCCATTTTTAGTTTTCTGAGGAAGTTCCACACTGTTTTTCATAGTGGCTGCACCAGTCTGCATTCCCACTAACAGTGCACCAGGGTTCCCTTTTCTCCACAAGTTTGCCAGCACTTGTTTGTTGATTTGTTTATGATGGCCATTCTGACCAGTGTGAAGTGGTATCCCATGTGGTTTTAATTTGCATCTCTCTGATGGCTAGTGATGCTGAGCATCCTTTCATATGTCTCTGAACCCTCTGTACATTCTCTTTGGAGATGTTTCTGTTCAGATCATTTCCCTGTTTTATAATTGGATTGGTTTTCCTCCTGGAGTGGAGTCATGTGAGTTCTTTATATATTTTGGAGATCAAACCATTGTCTGAGGTGTCATTTGCAAATATATTTTCCCAAAAAATTAGTTCTCTTTTCATTTTGATGCTGTTTTCTTTAGCTGTGCAGAACCTTTTTATTTTGATGAGATCCCATTTGTTTATTCTTTTTCTTATGTCCCTTGGTCTAGGGGACATATAGATCAAAATATTGCTGAATAAAATGCCTGAGATTTCCCTGCCTATCTTTTCTCCTCCAGGACTTTGATGGTGTCATGACTTATATTTCAGTCTTTTACCCACCTTGAATTTATTTTTGTATATCGTTTAAGTTTGTGATTCAGTTTCTTTTTTTTTCTTTTTCTTTTCTTCATGTAGCTGTCCTGCTCTCCCAACCCCATCTACTGAAGAGGCCCTTTTTACTCCATTTCATGCTTCTTCCTCCTTTGTCAACTATGAGTTGACCATAGAGACTTGAGTTTATTTCTGGGCTCTCTATTCTGTTGCACTGGTCTATGTGACTGTTCTTAGGCCAGGACCAAACTGTTGTGGTTACAGTGGCCTTGTAACATAGTTTGATATCAGGAGGGATCATAGTTTGTGATGCCTCCTACTGTGTTCTTCCTCCTCAAAATTGCCGCGGCTATTCCATCCATTTTGAAAATTGGATTGTTTGTCCTTCTGGTGTTAATTGTATAAATTCTTTATAGATTTTGGGAATTAACCCCTTATTGGATATATTATTGGTAAATATGTTCTCCCATACAGTGTGTTCCCTTTTCATTTTCTTTGATGGTTTCTTTGCTGTGAGAAAGCTTTTTAATTTGACATACTCCCATTTATATATTTATTTTTCTTTTGTGCCCCTTATCTTAGGAGACATATCAGCAAAGATATTGCTGATATGAGATGCCTGTTCTCTTGTAGAATTTTTATGCTTTTTCAACTGACAGGGTTTTTTTTTTCCATTTTGAATTTTTTTTGTGCGTAGAGTTACTTAGTTTTTTAGTTTCATTTTTCACATGTACCTGTAGAGTTTCCCAACACCATTCCTCACAGAAACTGCCTTTACTTCATTGTATTCTCTTGTATCCTTTCTCGAATATTAATTGCCCTTATAGTCATGGGTTGATTCCTAGGCTCTCTGTTCTGTTCCACTGATTACATGCCTGTCCTTATGCCAGTACCAGGTTTTTTTTATTACAATGCCCTTGTAGTATCGTTTGACATCAGATATTGTGATACCTCCAATGTTCTTCTTTGTCAAGACTGCTGAATCTATTCAGTGTCTTTTCTGATTCTATATAAATTTTTGCATTATTTGTTCTAGGTCTGTGAAACATACCATTGATATTTTAATGGAATTGCTTTGAATCTGTAGATCACTTTGTGTAGAATGGACATTTCAATGATGTTGATTTTCCTAATCCACCTATTTATATCTTCCTCATTTTCTTTCTTCAATGTCTTACAGTTTTCCAAGTACAGTTCTCTTAGTTTCTTGGTTACATTTATTCCTAGGTACCTTGTTTTCCTGTTGCAATAGTAAATGGGATTGTTTTTGTAGTTTCCCTTTCTGATAGTTTATTATTTGTGTATAAAAGTCACTCCAGTTTCTGAGTATTACTTTTATATTCTGCTATTTTGTGAAATTCATTTATTAGAACTATGAGCTTTTTGGTGGAGTGTTCAGAATTTTCTATGTTATAGCATCATGTTGTCTATGAATAATGACCATTTTATTTCCTCTTTTCCAATTTGGATACCTCTTATTTTTCTATCTTGTTTGATTGCTGCAGCTAGGACTTCCAGGAATATGTTGAGGAAGTGTATTGAAAGTGGACATCTCTGACTTGTTCTCAATCTTAAGGGATACACTTTCAGTTAGTGTTTAAGTATGATGTTGGCAGTAGGTGTTTATATATGGACTTTATTATGTTGAGGTGTGGTCTCTTCATTTCTACTTTGCTGAGTGTTTTTTTTTAAATTTATTTTTCAAGAGAGGGGAAGGGAAGGAGAAAGAGTGGGAGAGAAACATTAATGTGTGGTTGCCTCCCGTGAGTCCCCCGTTGGGAACCGGCCTAGCAACCCAGGCATGTGCCCTGACTGGGAATTGAACCTCGATACTCTGGTTCGCAGGCCCACGCTCAATCCACTGAGCTACGCCAGCCAGGGCTGCTGAGTGTTTTTAATCATATATATCTGTGCTAGATTTTATCAAATGCTTTTTCTCCATCTATTAATATAATCGTGTGTTTTTTATC